GGAAATGTACCCACAAGCTGCAGGGAATGAGTCACCTATAGATTCCCCTAGCCGGTCCACAGGAATGCTCATGTACTTTGCTCCTTAAATACACACTCCTCATCCTGTGACTGATTCCCTGTGTGTGCTCCTGACAGCAGAGGCAAGAACAAGCTTTGGCAATCATTTAGTGAGCGTGCCCAGAACGCCAGCCCAAATTTTCAGACCAGAGAGAAATCACAAACTTGAGCTTTAGTGTCACCTATGGGAAAGCAAGATGGAGGCTGTCAGCAGGATGTATGGCAGGATAAAGAGAAGGCTTACCAGCTTAACAACTCTGCTCTTATGAGAGAACAAGAAGCGTGGATCAGGTACATCAAAAGAAGATCTGAGAAAGCCTCGGAATCACTAGCAGGGCTGACAGAAGGTATTTCTCTCCCAAAGGTAGACAGTAAACACTGAAGGATGTGACTTCAAATGCAAATACAGAACTACAAGAGTCCAAGAAACATTAAAAGTCAAAGAAACATAACACCATCATCAAAATACCGCTATAATTTTACAGTCACCAACCCCAAAGATCTGCAATTTAGCCAAAAAGAATTCTAAATAGCTTTTTATTAAGAAGTCAATCAGCTATAAGAAAACACGTAAGGACAATTGATTAAAATCTGGAAAATCACCCACAACCAAAATGAGAAGCTTAAAAATGAGACGGAAATCACACACACACACACACACACACACACACACACACAGAACCATATAGATTCTGAGGCTGGGGAATACAATGAATGAAATTAAAAATGCCATAAAGAGTACCGACAGAAGACTGCATCATGCAGAAGGAAGGATCTGTGGGCTAGAAGACAGGAACTTTGAAATTACCCAATCAGAGGAGAACAAAGGAAAAAGAATGAAAAAGAGTGAAGAAAACTTACATGATCTATGGGATACCTTCACAAGAAACAATTTGACAATTACTGGTGTTCCAGAAGGAGAATAGAGGAAAACAGGGAAAGATAGTTTACTTAATCAAATAATGACTGATAGCTTCCCAAACCTGAGGAAAGATTTGGATATCCAAGTTCATGAACTCAAAAGTTACTAAGCAATCTCAATGTGAAGAGATCCTTTATAAGACACCTTGCAATAAAACTGCCAAAAATAAAAAACAAAGAGTGACTCTCAAAAGCAGCAACAGAAAAGAAGCCTGCAAATTACAAGGGAAACCCAATGGTGTGATGAGTGAATATCTGAGCAGAAACCCTATATGTCAGGAGACAGAGTGATAATATATTCAGTTCAGTCACTCAGTTGTGTCTGATCTTTGTGACACCATGAACCACAGCACGCCAGGCTTCCCTGTCCATCACCAACTCCCAGAAACCACCCAAACCCATGTCCATCGAGTTGGTGATGCCATCCAACCATCTCATCCTCTGTCGTCCCCTTCTCCTGCCCTCAATCTTTCCCAGCATCAGAGTCTTTTCCAGTGAGTCAGCTCTTCGAATCAGGTGGCCAAAATATTGGAGTTTCAGCTTCAACATCAGTCCTTCCAATGAACACCCAGGACTGATCTCCTTTAGGATGGACTGGTTGGATCTCCTTGCAGTCCAAGGGACTCTCAAGAGTCTCTGCCAACACCACAGTTCAAAAGCATCAATTCTTCAGCGCTCAGCTTTCTTTATAGTCCAACTCTCACATCCATACATGACCACTGGAAAAACTATAGCCTTGACTAGACAGACCTTTGTTGGCAAAGTAATGTGTCTGCTTTTTAATATGCTGTCTAGGTTGGTCATAACTTTCTTTCCAAGGAGTATTCAGAGCTCTGAAATAAAAATACTGCCAACCAAGAATAGTCTATCTGGCACAGTTACCCAATAAGACTGAAGAATTGTTCAGTCACTAAGTTGTGTCTGACTCTTTGCACTCCCATGGACAGCAGCAAGTCAGGATCCTCTGTCCTCCACTATCTCCCAGAGTTTGCTCAAACTTATGTCCATTGGGTCAGTGATGCTGTCCAACCATCTCATCCTCTGTCACCCCCTTCTCTTTTTGCTTTCAATCTTTCCTAGCATCAGGTCTTCTCCAGTGAGTCAGCTGTTCGCATCAGGTGGCCAAAGTATTGGAGCTTAAGCTTCATCAACAGTCCTTCCAATGAATATTCAGGGTTGATTTCCTTTAGAATTGACTGGTTTGATTCCTTGTAGTCTAAGGGACTCTCAAGAGTCTTCTCCAGCATCACAATTCAAAAGCCTCAGCTCTTCGGTGCTTAGTCTTCTTTATAGACAGTACTAAATACACAGACACACACACACACACACACACACACACACACAAACACTACAATGAATTCACTGAAGAATTCTGAATAAGTTCAGTAGATTATATCAGTATTGATATCTCAGTTGTGACATTATATTATAGTTTTTCAAATATTACTATTTGAAGAAATTGGATGAAACCTATGCAGTTTCTCCTTATATTATATTTAGGTACTGCATTTGAATTTCCATCCCAATTCCAAAGAAAGGTAGTGCTAAAGAATGTTCAAACTATCGGACATCTGCATACACTTCCCATGCTAGAAAGGTTATGCTCAAATCCTTCATGCTAGATTTCAGCAGTACTTGAATCGAGAACTTTCAGATTTACAAGCTGGGTTTAGAAAAGGCATAGGAACCACAGATTGAATTGCCAACATCTGTTGGATCACCGAGAAAGCAATGGAATTCCAGAAAAACATCTACTTCTGTTTCATTGATTATACAAAAGCCTTTGACTGTGTGGGTCACAACAAACTGTGTAAAATTCTTCAAGAGATGGGACTACCAGACCACCTTACCTGCCTTCTGAGAAACCTGTATGCGGGTCAAAAAGCAACAGTTCAAACCTTACCTGGAACAACTGACTGGATCAAAATTGGGAAAGGAGTATGATAAGGCCATATATTGTCACCCTGTTTATTTAAGTTTATGCAGAGTACATCATGCGAAATGCTGGGCTGGATGAGCTAAAAGCTGCAGTCAAGATTGCTGGGAGAAATATCTACAACCTCAGATATGCAGATGATACCACTCTTCTGGCAGAAAGTGAAGAGGAACTAAAGAAGCTCTTGATGAGGTTGAAAGAGGAGAGCGAAAAAGTTGGCTTAAAACTCAACATTAAAAAAGAACAAACAAGATTATGGCATCCAGTCCCATCATCACCTCATGGCAAATAGAAGGGAAAAAAGTGGAAGCAGTGACAGGTTTTCTATTCTTGTGCTCCAGAATCACTGTGGATGGTGACTGCAGCCATGAAATTAGAAGACACTTGCTTCTTAGAAGAAAGGCTATGACAAACCTCAACAGCACATTAAAAAGCAAAGACATCGCTTTGCTGACAAGGATCCATATAGTCAAAGCTACTGTCTTTCCAGTAGTCATGTATGGATGGGAGAGTTGGACTATAAAGAAGACTGAGCACCAAAGAACTGATGCTTTCGAACTGTGGTGCTGGAGAAGACTCTTGAGAGTCCCTTGGACTCAAGGAGATCAAATAAGTCAATCCTAAGGAAAGTCAACCCTGAATACTCATTGGAAGGACTGATGCTGAAGCTGAAGCTCCAATACCTTGGCCACCTGATATGAAGAGCTGACTCACTGGAAAAGACTGAAGCTGGGAAAGATTGAAAGCAAAAGAGCAAGAGGGTGGCAGAAGATGAGATGGTTGCATGACATCACTGATTCAATGGACATGAACTTGGGCAAACTCTGGGAGATGGTGAGGGACAGGGGGACCTGGTGGGCTGCAGTTCATGGGGTCACAAGGAATTGGACATGACTTGGTGACTAAACAAAACAACAACAGCTGCATATGAATCTGAAATAAACTCACTGAGCATTTCAGTTAAAAATATAAAGGATTAGAAAGTTATGGCATGCAAGCTGCAAGCATAAGAAACCTGGAATAGCTATTATAATGTGAGTATGAAGTATGAATATTGAGGAGCTTTACCAGGCTTCCCTGATAGCTCAGATGGTAAAGAATCTGTTTGTAATGGGGGAGACCCATGTTTGATCCCTGGGTCAGGAAGATCCCCTGGAGAATGGAATCGGTACCCACTCCAGTATTCTTGCCTAGGGAATTCAGTGGACAGAGGAGACTGGTAGGCTACAGTCCATGGGGTTGCAAAGAATCAGACACGACTGAGCGACTACCACAAACATACACACCAGGTATAAAGAGGCCAAATTCATAATGATGTAATAAATAATGAAGATTCTGATTGCTGGCACTTAAAAGATCCTCTAATATATTCTGTAAATGAATAAAGGAATCTAAGAAAATGGACCTTGATAGAGCTTACAGTTGCCTTTCTCTTGTATATATATTTCAAGGAATCTAATATTATTATGAATTCTTGGTGTGATTTAAACTGAAGCACAATGTTGGTTACCAAAAGTTAGCATTTGCACACACATTCTGCTTTGCTTTAATTAAAAACAAAGGATTACATTTTTACAAATGATTTTAACCGAAATCCAGTACGATACAAGAAATACTTGTTTTCTCTTCTTGCCAGAGGAAGAAAAATCACAGAGCATTTCATTTCTGTGTCTCTCAAATTCCATCTCCTGGAAATGACTGAAAGCTGTGTAGGAGGCTTATTTTACAGTATTTAGAGACCATGTACATGCCAAAGTCCAATGCTGGTTTTAGAGTCAAGGTGCTGAGGATAAGCATGTTCAAAGAGTAAACCTTTAAACAGAGTTCACTGGAAACCAAAGTATTTTTGGTAAATTATTTTCTCTATGACTTTACTAAAAAAAAATAATGCCTTGTGATTTGAGAAGGACTGGGGAAACTGTTTCCACTTCTCTATTGCAGTAGTGAGGGGATAGTACTCATTTATGAGAAACTGTTGTGAGATTATATAGGCTCAGTGTGAATTCATGAAAGGAAATTTTTTCTTCCATTGAACTTACAGCCTTAAAGTCATTGTGCATCGTCTTCAGGATTACCTGTCCAGAATGGCCTTTGAGGAGCTTCTGGATAAAGTTGGTGGCCTGGGGAAATTCCAGATACTTCAGATGGCTTTAATTTTTCCTTCTTACACGATAGTAGTCTGTCACATACTGTTGGAGAACTTCACTGCAGCTGTTCCTGGCCATCGCTGCTGGATCCACATTCTTGATAATGCCACTGTCTCTGATAATGCCACTGCGATCCTCAGCCCTGATGAAGATTAGGAGAATAATGTCTGAGTATAACATTGCTTTGAGTATAACATACTGGTTTGTCAAGTCTGAGCCTAAATCTGAGCTTTTAGGGGGAACCAACCAGAAGATAGAGTCCAGGGTAAATGCATAGTACATTAACATAGCTTAAGACAAACATTTCCATAAGAAAAATGCATTGGTTAGCTCAAGATTTGAGTAAAGTTAAGTTCAGGTGGAACCAGGTGTCATTATGGCAACAGTATTTTAAGAGAAACATCTTTTTAAATTTGTTTAGAGAAGGGGAAAAAATATATCACTAGTTTGTTTCCTCCTGCCGCTTAAGAAAGAGAGATTAAAAAAAAGTCTGACACTTGCAGCCTATTTCCTCCGTTTGGAGACCCCTGGCCTTCCTGCCTGTTACCTTATCATAAGCATGGCTCAAATCTTCATTTACCGAGTAGACAGTAACTCTCCTTCAATCTTTCAGCAAATGGTGATTGTCTATCTTTTTAACTGCCAAGCACTTACATTCCAATGGACACCGGTGAAATCAACCATCTAGACATGAATTTTAGTACTGAAGAGCTTTAAACCAAGTGTGAAGATAGATGATCAGACAAGGAAGTACCTGATACAATGTGTGAAAAATTATTCTTAGTCACTTGTTCTCAGCCTAGTTGCAAATTGGAAACATTTGCATTAATGGAAAAAAACTTCATGTCCTGGCTACTTGTCAGGGAAACAAATCAGAGAGTATTTCACTCTAAGTGTAAAATTCAGGAATCAGTATATTAAACGTGCGCCCGCCCCCCCGCCAACCTTAATCCTTACTATGTGTGGCAAGGTTTGAGAACCATTGAGGTATGCTGTGCTAAGTGAATAGAAAGATTGGTCTTGATGTAATCTAGAAGATTTAGTTGAAGATTTCCAGAGAAAAGCGTGCTTAAGTGACTCGAATGATATAGATGAGTAAATGTGGTAAAGGAAACCAGAGTGTTCACTGAGGGCTATCAGAGAGGATGATTACTGAGGGGTTATAAGATTCTGTGGAACTCCTCAGGGTTTCCCAGGTGGTGCAGTGGTAAAGAATCTGCCTGCCAATGCAGAAGATGCAAGAGATGCAGGTTCAATCCCTGGGTCGGGAAGATCCCCTTGAGTAGGAAATGGCAAATCCACTCCAGTATGCTTGCCTGGAAAATTCCCCCAGAGGAGCCTGGCTGGCTACAGTCCATGGGGTTGCTCAGTCCATGACTGAGCATGCAAGCATGTGATGATCCTCTTCTGGCCGATTTCCTTCTCTTCCAGTGGGACCTAGTATGTGACCATCAGTCACAGAAATCGATGGTTCAATCCCTATTCATGGCTGGAATGCTGGTGGGAGGCTTCATTTATGGCCATCTCTCAGACAGGTGAGTTTCTCCAGATCACTGCTGCCCACAGTTTATGATTGCTTCATAAAGAAATTTTTTTTAATTCCCCGCATATCCAATTTACACTGTGCTGGGTTGCCTTGGTTCCCAGGGAGTTATAGATGGAAATTTAGAATAAGCTGATTGTGATGATGTCATTTTGTTGCCCCAGAGCTCTGTGTACTGGACAAAGAAATGTCATCTCCACAAGATCTGGGGGATATTTCAGGACAGTATTTAGAGGGGAGGTTTTGCAATACTTCATATAGAAATATGAGGAAAAGTTACTTATGGGAAGGAGGAGGAAGTTGCTTCAAGACAGGAATTTCAGCCTATTTCAAGACACAGATATAGAGAACAGCATTGCCAGCCTTCGCCGTGGCTTCTGTGTTAAGTTCCCACTGGAATCAGTGAGCCAAAAGCTTGTGGGTTCCCACTTGATTGTTGTGCCTCACATGCAGGTGTGTGTGCTAAGTTGCTTCAGTCATGTCTGACTCCATGTGACCCTGTGGGCTGTAGCCCACCAGGCTCCTCTGCCCATGGGATTCTCCAGGCAAGAATACTGAAGTAGGTTTGCCATTTCCTCCTCTAGGGGATTTTCCCAGCCCATAGATTGAAGTGGTGTCTCTTAAGCCTCCTGCACTGGCGGGCAGGGTCCCAGGTGCCACCTGGGAAGTCATGCCTTGCAGGCCTCACACATCTCACTGTAATTAGAAGGCATTTCTATAAAACCTGAGTGCTTAGTGAAGTGTCCCTGAATTGCATCAAGAAATAATTGTGGCTATAATTTGGCCATTTGATCTTGTGAAAAGACTCTTTAGAGGTAATATTTGAAATCCTATAAGGAAATTAATCTATGGATCTCAAGTGTCATAATTTCTGACCACTCCAGTATGCTTGCCTGGAAAATTCCCCCAGAGGAGCCTGGCTGGCTACAGTCCATGGGGTTGCTCAGTCCATGACTGAGCATGCAAGCATGTGATGATCCTCTTCTGGCCGATTTCCTTCTCTTCCAGTGGGACCTAGTATGTGACCATCAGTCACAGAAATCGATGGTTCAATCCCTATTCATGGCTGGAATGCTGGTGGGAGGCTTCATTTATGGCCATCTCTCAGACAGGTGAGTTTCTCCAGATCACTGCTGCCCACAGTTTATGATTGCTTCGTAAAGAAATTTTTTTGAATTCCCCGCATATCCAATTTACACTGTGCTGGGTTGCCTTGGTTCCCAGGGAGTTATAGATGGAAATTTAGAATAAGCTGATTGTGATGATGTCATTTTGTTGCCCCAGAGCTCTGTGTACTGGACACAGAAATGTCATCTCCACAAGATCTGGGGGATATTTCAGGACAGTATTTAGAGGGGAGGTTTTGCAATACTTCATATAGAAATATGAGGAAAAGTTACTTATGGGAAGGAGGAGGAAGTTGCTTCAAGACAGGAATTTCAGCCTATTTCAAGACACAGATATAGAGAACAGCATTGCCAGCCTTCGCCGTGGCTTCTGTGTTAAGTTCCCACTGGAATCAGTGAGCCAAAAGCTTGTGGGTTCCCACTTGATTGTTGTGCCTCACATGCAGGTGTGTGTGCTAAGTTGCTTCAGTCATGTCTGACTCCATGTGACCCTGTGGGCTGTAGCCCACCAGGCTCCTCTGCCCATGGGATTCTCCAGGCAAGAATACTGAAGTGGGTTTGCCATTTCCTCCTCTAGGGGATTTTCCCAGCCCATAGATTGAAGTGGTGTCTCTTAAGCCTCCTGCACTGGCGGGCAGGGTCCCAGGTGCCACCTGGGAAGTCATGCCTTGCAGGCCTCACACATCTCACTGTAATTAGAAGGCATTTCTATAAAACCTGAGTGCTTAGTGAAGTGTCCCTGAATTGCATCAAGAAATAATTGTGGCTATAATTTGGCCATTTGATCTTGTGAAAAGACTCTTTAGAGGTAATATTTGAAATCCTATAAGGAAATTAATCTATGGATCTCAAGTGTCATAATTTCTGGTATGAGCGTTTTGGCTTATCCTGTGCCCGGCGCTGTCCATCCTGAAGTAAGTGACAACCATGGCAGCCAGATACTCAAGTCTTTCATAGGTGAAATGGGAGACTCTAAGTAACCTTTATCCCTTACTTACAAGTCTAACATATTTAACCTTCCAGGTGAAAATTGTGAATGCTGAATATATCACCCTGAGTGTAATTTGTAAACTACATCAGAGTCAGACTGTTCATGTTGACCAGTCTTATGACTGAACCCTTTATAGTGATTCATGTTAAAATGCTAATTGATCAGTTTAAATGCACACAGGGTAATAGATTTTTTTCAGTTTCTGTAGAGGAAATGGGATTATGACAGATGTCGAGAATAGAAAATTTGGTGAAGAAAAGGGGGACTTATAGCTAACCTAAAGATTTTGAACTAAACATAGGCAAAAAGCTTCTTATGGCTAAGAAGTATTATAGATTGACATAATCCCCAATTCTTTATTTTACTTTCACTGACTGTGCTTTTGTGGCCAAGCTCAATGTCCTGAATACTTCTTCACAGCAAAGCAAATGGTCAACAAAAGGAAATTGAAATCTACAGAATGGGAAAAATATTTGCAAGCCTCAAATCTGATAGATTTAATATCTAAAACATACAGAAGACTGCTGCAACTGATAGAAAAAAACTCACAAATAACCTACTCAAAACTGGCAAAGGAATTCAGTAGGTATTCCTCCATAGAAGACATGGAAATTGTTAACAGGAATATGAAAATGTGCTTAATTTCACTAATTATCAAGGAAATGCAAATCAAAACCACAATGAGATATACCTTCATGCCAGTTTGGGTAGCTATTATATTAAAAAGTCACTGTTAAGACTGATGTCAGGGAGTTTTTTCCTAGGATTTTTATTTTTTTTTCATTTATTTTTATTAGTTGGAGGCTAATTACTTTACAATATTGTAGTGGTTTTTGCCATACAATGACATGAATCAGCCATGGATTTACATGTGTTCCCCATCCCGATCCCCCCTCCCACCTCCCTCCCCATCCCATCCCTCTGGGTCTTCCCAAAGAACTGATTCAAATGAATTCTTTTTAATGGCTGAGTAATATTCCATTGTGTATATGTACCACACAGCAAACATTATCCTCAATGGTGAAAAATTGAAAGCATTTACCCTAAAAATCAGGAACAAGACATGGGTGCCCACTCTCACCTCTACTATTCAACATAGTTTTGGAAGTTTTGGCCACAGCAATCAGAGCAGAAAAATAAATAAAAGGAATCCAGATAGGAAAAGAAGTGAAACTTTCCTAGGATTTTTAGTGTTTCAGGGCTAATATTTAAGTCTTTAACCCATTTTGAGTGAAGTTTTTTTGAATATTGTCAGTAGAGTGCAAATTCGTACTCCTGCATGTCATCATTTCATTGTCCCAACATTATTATTGAAAAATTATATTGCCCCTCTTTAATATTATTGGTTTATTTATCAAATAATACATATCAACGGTTAATTTCTTGAATCTTGGTTCTTTCTGTTGTTTTATGTGTCTTTTCTTAATGTCAGTGCCACACCATTTTGATCCCTATTGTTTTGTAGCATAGTTTGAAAGCAGAAAGTAGGATGTTTCTAGATTGGTTCTTTGTCAGGATTGACTTTGCTTTTGGGGGTCATTTGTGATTTCATATAGATTTTAGGATCATTTTTTTCTATTTCTGTGGAAAATGTCATTGGAATTTTAATAAGGATGCCATAATTATAGGTGGGGCTTCCCTTGTAGCTCAGTTGGTAAAGAATCTGCCTGCAGTGCAGGAGACCCAGTTTTGATTCCTGGACTGGAATCCCAGAGAAGGAAATGGCAATCCACTCCGGTATTCTTGCCTGGAGAATCCCATGGACAGAGGAGCTTGGAGAGCTACAGTTGGTGGGGTTGCAAGAATCAGACACAACTTAGTGACTAAACCACCACCAACCAATCTATAGATGACTTTGCGTAGTACGTGCGTTTTGACAATACTAATTTTCCAGCCCATAAATATGGGTTATTTTTCCATTTATTTGTATCTTCTTCAAGTTCTTTAATCAAAGTCTTGTTTTCAGTGTTCAGATCTATATCATCTCCTTGGTTAAATTTATTGTTGTTGTTCAGTCGATCAGTCATGAGTCAGTCATGTCTGACTCTTTGCGACCCCATGGACTGCAGCACACCAGGCTTCCCTGTCCATCACTGACTCCCAGAGCTTGCTCAAGCTCATGTCCATTGAGTCAGTGATGCCATCCAACCATCTCATCCTCTGTCATCCCCTTGTCCTCCATCTTCTTTCCCAGCATCAGGGTCTTTTCCAATGAGTCAGCTCTTTGCATCAGGAGGCCAAATTAATGTATGACTATATCTACTTGTTTTAAGGGCTTCTAAGATGGCTCAGCAGTAAAGAACTCACCTGCTAATGCAGGAGACGCAGGAGAGGCGGGTTCAGTCCCTGGGTTGGGAAGATCCCCTGGAGCAGGAAATGGCAACCCACTCCTGGGAAAAATTTTCACCTGGGAAATTCCATGGACAGAGGAGCCAGGTGGGCTACAGTCCATGGGGTTGCAATGAGTTGGATACGACTAAGTGGGCACAGACTCACACTTGTTTTAAACTGGTAGTTGTTTAAGTTCAGACACATTTTCAAAGTTCTGCCTTTAAAAAACCCCCCTCATCCACATTTTGTACTTTTGATGTTGTATTTTAAATCTTCATGTTTATGCTCTGTTTTTTTCTGTCTATAGTAGCTGTTACAGTTTCTTTTCATCTTGTAATCTATGTACTGGCTTATTTAAGCAGTAAATCCTCAGTCCTTAATGTCTATTTGCCTTTTCTAATGGGCTTTTACCCTCTGCCACCCCCACTTGTTGTAGAACAGCCCCACGGGGCTGCTGTGGCCTGTGAGGACTCTCAGCAGGTATCGGGTGGTTAGCTGTCCGGAGCAGCTGCTGTCAGGGATATGGGAGGTTTCTGAGGTGTCGCCTGAGTAAGTGTCAATAACGGCTGCTCCACCCCAACCAGGCTCTGCCCTGGGACCAGCTTGCCTCTGTGTCCCATGCTCAAGTCTTTCTCCTGGATGTGGGTACCCCGGATCTGGTGCAGGGCTGTGGCGTGGGTTGAGTGGGGTGGGAGAGTTCCCTCAGAGCTGGGATGTGCATCAAGGCAGCAGCAGGAAGCCTGGCAGCCTCTAGGGAAGCTCTCTCTATGCCCTGCTGTGGAGGCTAGCAAACACACACGTGCTCCCCACAAGCTGAGTCCAGGCTCCCCACAGCCCTTCAGTTATTCCCAGCAGTCCAAGGAGATCAAACCAGTTAATCCTAAAGGAAATCAACCCTGAATACTCTTTGGAAGGACTGATGCTGAATCTGAAGCTCCAATCCTTTGCCCACTTGATGCGAAGGGCTGACTCATTGGAAAAGACCCTGATACTGCGAAAGATTGAAGACAGGAGGAGAAGGGGGCGACAGAGGATGAGATGATTGGATGGCATCACCAACTCAATGGGCATGAGTTTGAGCAAACTCCGGGAGATAGTGATGGACAGGGAAGCCTGGCAAGCTGCAGTCCACGGGGTCACAAAGAGTCGGACGTGATTGAGAGACTAAACAACAACAAGTCCTCCTACCAGCCACGGGGGATTGTTTCCTCATGTGCCCCAGGACTGGGACGCCCGATCTGTGGCCTGACCTGCTCTGTCCCCAGGGTAGGTGTCCTCCTATGGCATCTCCCTTTTCCTCTGAGTCCTCTCCCAGGAGCACAAGTCTGGACCTGATTGTGTTTCTTTCCTTCCTACCTGATTACATGTGTATCTTACATCCTTGGTTTACATAAGTCACTCTGCCAGTTTCCAGTTAGTTTCAGTGAGAATTTTTCCATATATAGATGTATTTTTTTTTTTTATTAAAAAATTTTTGGCTGCGTTGTCTCTTCGTTGCTGCATGCGGGCTTTCTCTAGTTGCGGCGAGTGGGGCTACTCTTTACTGTGGTGCTCAGGCTTCTCACGGCAGTGGCTTCTCTTGTTGCAGAGCACAGGCTCTAGGCCCATGGGCTTCAGTAGCTGTGGCACATGCGCTTAACTGCTCCATGGCATGTGGAATCTTCCTGGGCTAGGGATTGAACCCATGTCCCCTGCACTGGCAGGTGGATTCTTATCCACTGCACCAGCAAGGAAGTCCTGTAGATGTATTCGATGTGTTAAAGGGGGAAGGTAAACTCCATATGCTTTTACTGCCTCATCCAGATCTTTTCCCAGGGTTGCGGTGGTCTTATATTCTGTTCTCCTCTGGAGAAGGGAATGGCTACCCACTTCAGTATTCCGGGGTGGAGAATTCCATGAACAGAGGAGCCTCACGGGCTACAGTCCGTGGGGTTGCAAAGAGCCTAAGAAGACTGAGTGACTAACACTTTCACTTCATATTCTGTTCTAGATAAGGCACATTGCTTGAGGCCTATAAACTCAGATTCAACAAAGACTGACCCTTACATAAACCTTCAACAACTTTGAGTATTGTTCCACTGATCTTCTGCATCAGTTTAACCTTGCCTGTCTGGTCCTAGAGACCCAAGTACACTTTTAGCTCTCTTGTGTTCTGGACACTGTACAGACTCTCTACCATGCTAAATACATACGTTAGTATAATGGGAGCTTATAGTATATTACAGTTTCCAACACTGTAATTTCTTTTATATGATATATCACTTGGTGTCAAAGTCCAAGTGATTAGAGGATGAAGTTTTGGTATTCTTAGTGTATATTGCAGACAAGGAGTGCTACTTTGAGGAGATCTCCATTGTTGATTTAGCTTTTGAGTTTTCAAGCTTTCAGATACAAAGAATCACTTGGAATCTAGAAAGACAGTACTGATGGACCTATTTGCAGGGTAGTGATGGAGACATAGACGTAGAGAATGGACTGTGGACACAGTGGAGGAAGGAATGGGTGGGATGAATTGAGAGAGCAGCGTGAAAACACATATATTACCATACATAAAATAGAGAACCAGTGGGAATTTGCTGTGTGACACAAGGAACTCAACCCACTGCTCTGAGACAACCAAGAGGGGTGGGATGGGGTGGGAGATGGGAGGGAGTTTCAAGAGGGAGGGGACATATGTATGACTGTGGCTGATTCATGCTGATGTGTGGCAGAAACCAGCACAGTATTATAAAGCAATGATCTCCCACTAAGCAATGTAAAAAATTAGTGAAATAAAAAACCAAACCATAAAAAAGGATAAAACCATTATGAGCATTAAAAAAAATTCTCTAAATTTCAGAGTAGGCTTTGTTTTTATCACAGGTTGCTATTGCTCTCACAATCTAATGTGCCTCTCTGTTTCTTAGGTTTGGGCGCAAATTGATCCTCAGGTGCTGTTTGCTCCAGCTCGCCATCTCGGGGACCTGTGCAGCCTTTGCCCCCACCTTCCTCATTTACTGCGCCCTACGCTTCTGGTCAGGCTGTTCTGCTGAGGCCATCGTGGCAAATAACAGTATGCTCAGTAAGTCGACAGTTTTAGTCTTCTGCAAGTCCAGAAATTGGCCTTGAAATTTCACACTTACCTGACAATAATATCCCAATGGGATTTTCTTTCAGTTGTAGAGTGGGTAAGGTCCCAGTCAAAAGCCATGGTAATAACACTGATAGCCTGTGCTGTTAGTATTGGACAGACGATGCTGGGAGGACTGGCTTTTGTCTTTCGAGAGTGGCGCACCCTGCAGCTGGTGGTGTCTGTACCTTTCTTTGTCTTCTTTCTCTCCTCAAGGTATGAGCATCTCTCTCATTCTGTTATGGGAACCTGGGATGGAAATGCATATTGTATCTGAATATATTCATTTTTTAATTCCTTAAACCCTTTTTTATTGTTTGAACTTAAAACCCTTGTCTATCATCTGTTACACTGTGCAATTTGTGAAACAGAACATTGACTAACAGTGACCCTTCTCCTGGGAGTTCTGGGTATTTTCTGCCATCATTCTTCATTGTCTTACTTAGTATAGTGGTTGGAGGGTTATTCTGACATGATTTTTGTTAATATAAAATATAGACTCAAATATTTTGAAAAGAAGTAACTTTAATTCTTTTTTTGTTTTTTGCTTTTGGGAAGAAACAGGTTATGGTAAAATTTTCCATGATTTTCATCATTGTAGGTGAATTGAACAAAGGGAAGACGCAGTGATTTTATTCATAGAGTAATTTAACAAAATAGCCATGTTCTTTCTCCAGTGCTAATAATTGGCATGCAGGTAGGGTAATTTACATCATGTGCTCACCAGTCCCTTAAATAATTTTAACAAACATTTATTTATGGATAACTTGACCCCCACACTTAAAACCAGTCTAGGGAGAATTAAATTTAGGAGACCGCAGAGAGACAACTACAGATTTTATAGAAAGATATGAGTTCAGGGAGAAAGGGAATGTCAGACTCATTGGTTTTTTTTTAATGATGTCATTTTGTTTATTTATTTACTTATTTTTAAACTTTTTAGCTTGTATTGGGGGATAGCCAATTAACAAACAATGTTGTGATAGTTTCAGGTGAGCAGTGAGGGAACTCAGCCACACATATCAAGTCTTTCCCAAACCCCCTCCCATCCAGGCTGTCACATAATATTGAGTAGAGTTCCATGTGCTATACAGACTCATCCTTTTTTTTTTTTTTTTTAGAAATTCCTTAGGAGCATGGTTCATTTATTCAAAGTCAACTATGTTCAAAAATAAAAACAAAACATCTTCATAAATCATTCTAAGCAACGTTTGCTGGTTATAGCTGCATGTCAGAAATACGTCAGTGCGGTTTCTGCTTGTTACTCCATATTCATAACAACCCTACAAGCAAGCTGACACTGCTGTCCCATTTAATTGATGAGAAAACTGAGGCAGGTATAAAGTAGTTAGCTATTAATTGATATTAGTAATTGGGTCATTAGTTATCAACATAGCTAGTAGTGGCAGGAGTACTTGCAATCATCAGGTTTTACGCTGATATATCTAGGGCTTCTTTACAAAAATAATATATACTGTAAATATGTATTATGTGCACAAAGTTGCTAGATCCCATGCCAAGGTTTGGAAGGAAATTGTGCATATTAGGGACAAACTTAAATTTCATAAGTTTTCTGTAAATTCTCCTGATGAGTAAGCAGAGGAGATTTAACTCCAAGTCTGTGTCCCTTACTAGTAATACAACTTTCAAGTACACTGCAGGGAGTGGTCGCTCTCATATTCTCCTAGTATTTGTGAAATAGATCTGGAATTTCTATTTCTGACCCAACAAGTGAAGCAGTGGATTTTGGATGGAAGGCAAAATGCATCTGTTGTCAATAATCATATGACATATAACAAGGGAGAGCTGACTACACTTGTGTACTCACCTTCCATCAGGTGGCTGGTGGAATCTGCTCGGTGGCTGATTGTCACCAATAAACCAGATGAGGGCTTAAAGGGACTTCGAATAGTTGCACACCGAAATGGAATGAAGAATGCTGAAGCCGCCCTGAACATGGAGGTGAGCAGGGAAGAGGAGGTGGTTATTGGGTTGGAGGGAAGGAGTAAACTGATACCTGCCTTCTCCTTATTGAGGTATGCAAACCCTTTTCTAACAAGGGCGGCTAGTTGAGAATGCAAGCTCAGTTTCCTGGCCTTTCATGGCCATCTCATGAAAATAAGCTTTGCCTACTGCGCAAATAGCTCCTTTATTCACTTCCTCATCTGAACCTGTAGGTTGTGTACCACAGTGGATGCCCTGCCCTCCTCCGTGGCCTCATTTTCAAATTTTCATTGTTGCCGTTTAATTTCCTGGAGTCTCCCTTAACTCCCTACATCCTCCTTCATATCACATTCACACCCGTGATTACGTATGCAATATGCTACACTACAAAGGAAGGTAACATATTTCTTCTATCCTGTTGGTTGCCGATGCTCATCACAATACCTGGCACTATATTGGCAAGTGATTCGTGTTTTCGTTGCTAAAGGGTTTGAGAGCAGCCATGCGGGAGCAGCTGGAGGCAGCACAGACCAAAACAACTGTGTTTGACTTGTTCCGCACACCCAACCTGCGTAAAAGGATCTGTCTCCTGTCCTTTGTGAGGTGGGCTTCACACAGCGCATGATGACATTCAGAGAGGGGACGTGAATCTGTTTATTTCAAAGGTTATAGGACTGTTGTGAGAGGGAGGCACTGATCTGGGGATAAAAAGTGAAGAAAACACACGTAGTAATTGCTATTTTGGGAGGTAGTTGAAGGATTATAAAAGACTCACATGGGACTGATAATAAAGTGAAGAGTTAGAAAAATAGACAAATGGGATGTGATTAAACTTACAAGTTTTGTATTGCAAAGGAAACTATAAGTAAAATTAAGAGGGCCTACAGAATAAAAAAAATTTGCAAATGATGTAACAACAGGGGATTAAGTTTCAAAATAGACAAATAGATCTTACATCTTAATATAAAAAGACAAACAATCCAATTGGAAAATGAGCAGAAGATTTAAATATACAGTTTTCCAAAGAAGACACGTAGATAGCCAACAGCCACGTTAAAAGATGCTCAACTTTGCTAATAAGAAATGCAAACCAAAACTACAATGAGGTATTGCCTCACACCAGTCATAATGTTCATCATCCAAAAGTCTACAAATAATAAATGCTGGAGAGGGTGTGGAGAAAAGGGAAACCTCCTACACTGTTAATGGGATTATAAATTGGTGCAGCCACTATAGAGAACAGTGTGGAGGCTACTTAAAAACTGAAGGTAGAGTTACCATATGATCTAGCAATCCCACTCCTGGACATGGATCCAAACAAAACTCTAATTCAAAAAGATACAAGCATCCCAATGTTTATGGCAGCATTACTTATAATAGTTAAGACATGGGAGCAACCTAAGTGTCCATTGACAAATGGATAGAAATGATGTGGTATGTGTGTGTATATATTTGTAGCAACATGGATGGACCTAGAGATTACCATACTAAGTAAAGTAAGTCAAAGACAAGCATCATGATGTCACTTATTTGTGAAATCTAAAAAAGTGATACATATGAACTCATTTACAAAACAAAAAATAGACTCACAAACATAGGGAAAAAATGTATGGTTATCAAAGGGGAAAAGTGTGGGGAAGGGTAAATTAGGAGTTTGAAATTAACACATACACACTGCTACATAGAACATAGATAATCAACAATGACCTACTGTATAGCACAAGGAACTCTACTCAATAATCTGTATTAACATATAATGGAACATAGGTTAATATATTATGCGACCCCATGAACTGTAGCCCACCAGGCTCCTCTGTCCATGGGATTTCACAGGCAAAAGTACTGGAGTGGGTTGCCATTTCCTCCTCTAGGGGATCTTGCCAACCCAGGGCTCGAACCCACGTATCTTATGTCTTCTGTGTTGCCTACTGGATTCCTTCACCACTTAGATATTGTAATTATTTACGTTAACTTTATTGGCTACACTTCACAGTTTGTGGAATCTTAGTTCCCTGACCAGGGATCGAACCTGGGTCCACAGCAGTGAAAGCACTGAGTTTTAATCACTGGACTACCAGCAGATTTCCCTATTTACTTTAACTTTAAAATTATGACCTTAAAAGGAGGTATTGTATAAATCAGACTGTGCCTTTTTTTTTCAACCTTAACCATTGGCTGCCTGGGTCAACATAATCATCAACTGCCGCACTGGGCTCTAATCTTACGGCTTGTGTCTTTCCTCTTTTGTTCATTACAGATTTGCAAACACAGTACCCTATTATGGTATCTTTATGAATCTACAGCACTTTGGGAGCAATATATTCCTGTTCCAGGTAATCTTTGGAGCTCTCACTATCTCCGCTCGATGTCTTGCACTCCTAGTACTGAATCACATGGGCCGTCGACTAACCCAGATGCTTTTCATGTTCCTTGTGGGACTTTCCATTTTGGCCAACATGTTTGTGCCCCAAGGTGAGAGAAGACTGGAATTTGGGGAAAGGGAAGTGTCTTTTTCATGACCTTCAATGATTGCATTAGCCCTACTTGTCCAAAGCTAGGAATAAAGGGAAGTCCCAATAATGGCTTGCTAAGTATTCCCACAAATGTTAGAAGTCCTACTACTAGGTTGTTGGGAAAAAGAGCCAGAGGTCCGTAAGGGCAGCTCTGGCATATCTTCACCTTCCTCACGTTTTGGAAGTATCTGGAAACTGATTTAGTCTGAACATTTATTCTGAACACTTCCTCTAGGAGAGCATTTGTTCACTTGCCCTTCACCCATTTGGGACTTCCCAGGTGGCAGTAGTGTTAAAAAAAACCCGCCTGTCAATGTGGGAGACATAGGAGATGCAGGTTTGATCCCTGGTTTGGGAAGATCCTCTGGAGGAGGGCATGCCAACCCACTCCAGTGTTCTTGCCTGGAGAATCCTCATGGAACGAGGAGCATGGCGGCTACAGTCCATAGGTTTGCAAAAAGTCGAACATGACAGAAGCGACATAGGACATTGGCCATTCTCACTTGTAAAAACAAGCATGGAGGGGTGAGGCCTTGCAATTATATCCCAGGTGAGGACACAGGATGGTCACTCCCTCTGACAGGGTTCCTCATCACCAACTTTGATGACTGGTCTAGTTCCTCACCTCTATGTTCCACATGTGAGTGTGATATTAAGTCATCATGACTACAGCTCTTGCTTATGAGAGTTTCTCAGGTAATGAAAAGAATTCATCTTTTTAAAAAAGTGAACGTCTGTACAGTTGGAACCAGGATTTAAGCAGATTAAAATCCTTGTCCGTTTCCTGTTAGATTACTTTATAAGTTAACAGAACGATGCTATGTAACGATTTGCGGTTGTTTAGTTGCTAAGTCGGGTCCGACACTTGGCGAACCCTTGGACTGTAGGCCTCCAGGCCCCTCTGTCCGTGGGATTTCCCAGGCAAGAATACTGGAGGGGGTTGCCAGATCTCTAGGGGATCTTCCCGACTCAGGGATGGAGCTCAAGTCTCCTGCATCACAGGTGGATTCCTTACCGCTGAGCCACCAGGGAAGCCTATGTAACAACTAGGAGAACCTTAGTGGGCACAGTGCTTCACGTTGCACAATGCAGAAATGTGCTTCACGGCCTTAGAGATGAGTGGACTTTGCTTCTCAGAATATCATTAGTAATGCCTGATTACTTTCTTACAAGAGAGTTCTGTCCAATATATAATGCTATAACTAGATTTCTTTTCATACTGCGTAGAATACAGATTCCTTGAACATTTTTTCATTTGTTCCCAAATCCTGACATTCCCCTCCTCTGCCAAATAGAAGTTTCCATTGTAGGTTGACTGAGTCTTTTAGGTTTACCTGGAACTTTCCTTTTTTTCTTTTTCCAATGAAAATCCCACACTGCTAAGACCTCCTAATTCCAGGAAAACCAGGAAATCCTGCACTTGAATAGTAAGGTCTTCCAGGTTAGAGCTGAGTCTTAGACTCAGCAATCATCCACAGTTCTACCTTCTACAATAAGGATATAACAGAATAAGTAAAAGCAAATTTCCACCAGACTTACATTTTCTTCTGATTCTTCAGCAAATCTCAGCTATGCACAGAGAGTTGCTATAATTAATTCAGAAGGTTTTATATACTTTTAACCACCTATGTTGATAATGTTACATTTCTCACATTGTTAACTGTTCTATGCTCCCTGCCACTGTACAGTTTTCTACAATATATTTCAAAAACGCAACTAACCTATAAGGCTTTTTTTTTTCCTGACTAAATTTGGTGGATGCTGTTTCCTTCAATGCAGCTTTCTTAATCTCCCTGCTCTTTGTGTCTCCAGAAATGCAGACCCTACGTTTGACTTTGGCAAGTGTGGGAATGGGCTGTGTTGCTGCCGCTGTCTCCAGTAATGCTGTCCATAACTCTGAACTCGTGCCCACTCTCCTCAGGTAAAATACTTTGTGGATGCTCTGCCAGGGCCCTCAATAGGACTTTCGCAGGTAATTGATCAGGAGTAATCAAAATAAGATCTGTTAACTAGAAAGCATTCATTTGTAATCATAATAGTAACAACATACTAACAACGATTACCCAAAGTTTATTGAAAAAATGGGCTCTGTGCCATGTACTATGTTAAGCAGTACTTCAGTGTCTGTCTCATTAATCTTTTGGGCCACTTGTCAGGGTAGTTGCAATGCATTAACATACTGTTTAAAGTGATGAAAATGGGTTTTAACACACTTTGTTTTTTTATTTTTTATTATTATTTTTTCCATTTATTTTTATTAGTTGGAGGCTAATTACTTTACAACATTGTAGTGGTTTTTGTCATACGTTGAAATGAATTAGCCATGGATTTACATGTATTCCCCATCCCGGTCCCCCCTCCCACCTCCCTCTCCACCCGATCCCTCTGGGTCTTCCCAGTGCACCAGGCCCGAGCACTTGTCTCATGCA